GACTTGGAATGTTGGAAAACATTGACCTGGAATTGCTTCGGTTTGGAAATTGAGGCATAGGCAGCTACTTGCCCATTCCTGGCTATGGAAGTGGTCGATGTCTTGGCAGGGAAAGGGCAAATAGCATTTCAGTGGTTGAATTCAGGAGTTGATGAATCGGAAATATGGAAAGTGGCCGAGGAGGAAGACAATAGAAGACTCTAAATGATGTTCTTCACTTGCTATCAACCACCGTTAGGTACGAGACTAACCAAGGCCAGCCAGAATCTCCTCCCTCCCCGAGTGCCCAGGCTCAGTGCCTGGCACGGGACGCCCCGCACGGGCTCAGGGTATATGTAGAACTTCCAGCAGGACAGTTTTCAACGAACGAAGACCACAACGAACGAAGACCACCGCCCACTCCCCAGTGGCCGAGTGGTCCATCCGGGGCAGCCTTGAACCCTCCTCCCGCCGGGGAGGTTGTGAGTTCGATCCCCGCCGCTGCCCCGGCGATTTAGAAACCTGCCCGGGGGTTTCGTAGCCGGCTCCCCTCCGAGAGGGGGCCGGTGAGCTTTTGCCATTTTGCTCTTTTTAACCACGCACAGGCCGGCCCCTTTTGATTCCAAAAAGACTTGGGATATGTATGTCGTTGGTGATCAGTATCTATGATTATTTTTATACATGCGATTACCTCGCTCAACCCAATAGTTACCGCCATCCATGCAATGCATCCAAACAACCGACCCGAACAAATAAAACCAATTGAGTGAGTGAGGCAGTTAGTCACCCATCCAGCCAACCTCAATGTCCAATGATTGACTGAATAAATAAACAACCCAAAACAACCATCGGCCTCCTATGCAGAAGCAAAAAAAAGGACTGCCTCCTTCTTCAGCAAGCGCCAAATTCATTCCGGGCTTTGCCCCACTTCTTCCCCTGCTCCCCAACCACCAATCATCCGGTTCCACAGCCCTTGCTTGTTCCTGACCTTATCCTCATCAAGTTAAACCCCCCCCCAAACACCCGGGACAGCTCATTCCTCGGGATCATTCCGCCTCTCATCATCATCCCTGCCCCAGACCGCCCGACTCAAACACATCCTCCGCAAAAAAACTCCGCTCCGCAAACGCCACCTGCCCCCCGCCCCCCCCGGCGAACCCGCCCCTCTTCCTCAGCCACCACCAGCATGCATTCCTCCCCCCGTCGCCAACCCAAAAGGCGACGCCACCGCGCCCTACCCCAATACCCAGGCTGACCTTGGCGGCAAGCACCTCGACCGGACTGTCCCGCAACCGCGTGCTGATTCGGCGGGTTAAACCACGCGCTGGTGGGGGGTGGTCGGGGCGGCGCGGGACGCGGTACCAGAACGGCCCTGTGCGGGGCTCGGTGGGGGCCTGGCCGAAGGCCTGGGTGGTACGCTGGCCGCGGGTGTTGAAGGCGCGGTGGCGGGAGGCGGTGGAGGTGGTGGAGGGGTCTGCTGCTGCTGGGGTGAAGGGGGTGGGGGTGGTGGTGGAGAGCGGGGAGGAGAATTGGGCGGTTGATGGGAGGGTGGGGGTCGGGGACCAGTCCATTTCTTCGGCGGCGGGGGGGACGCGGGCTCGGGGAGTGGACGGGGGTGCTCTGAATGAGGCGGGGTGGTGTAGGTGGAGGTCGTCGATTTGTTGGAGGCTGGCAGTGAGGGTTTGGGCGGCTTGGGTGTGGGCGTGGCCCATGGGGAGGAAGTTGGTGTGGCGTTTGGGGATGGAGGGGGAGAGGTCGAGGGTTGGGGAGGGTGGTGTGGGCGAGGTCGGGGAGCGCGAGATCTCGTCGAGGAGGTCGGCTATGGATTTGGTTTCCTCGAGGCGTGTGTTTGAGCCGGAAGGAGACGGTTCGTGCGTGTCGTGGAGGGGTTGGTTGGGAGACGCGCCGAAGGAA